GACCCTTGGTGAGCCCCTTGGTTGCTTCAGGGTGAAGGCTGACCACTAGAAAGACCAGGCCACAGCAACAAGCTCAGAGCATTCAGGGAGGGGAAGGGGCCAGGAGATTGGTTAACAACCCATCAGTCCTCTGTGACGGAGCCTCCACCAAGTCCTGAGAGTGACAAAGTATGTCCCCTGCTGCGAGCTTGGTGCAGCCCAACTCCCTGGGGACAAATGCAGGACTCTCTGGGACCTGGCTGCTGGTTGTGTCTGTAATATCCTTTATAACAAACCAGTAAAGGTCAGGAAGCGTGCCCCTGAGTTCTGTGATCTGGGCTACCAAATGATGGCCCCTGAGGAGGGTGTTGCAGGAACCCTGACTTAACAGACGCTCAGTCAGGAGTAGGGGAAGTGTGGAACTTCAGATTGGCGTCTGTAGCTGGGGACAGTCCTGTGGAGCCCAGTCCTTTATCTGTGTGTGTCTGAGTCTGTGCTGACTCTGGGGACTTAGCTTCAGGACTGAATTAAGCTATTGAATACCAAGTTGGTATCCGGAGAAGCAGAGAGTTGCTTGTTGGTGCCAGAAAGGTCTGAAGTTTGCTGTTGGCTTTGGTTCCAATTTCTCCCTGCCCCAGAAACAAAAGCACTGAAAGTGAACGGCGAGCTCACCCGTCACCACGTGCAGCATGTCAATGGCTGGCTCCTCCAGGGTTTTGATCTGCTGTTTCACAATGCTCTCAAAGGTCTTGTAATTCACAAATCCCGGCAGCTCTCGGCCACGGTACTGATTTTCGAATTTGTAGATCTTTTTACTTATAATTTCATAACCTAGGAAGGAATAACTCTGAATTATTTTACAAAGATAATCTTGCAGACTTTCTAAACACAGTACCATCTGGACATCTTGAAAATATAATTGGTGAGAAAAAAAATCATCAAACCAAATCTGACCTGCAAATTGCAAAATAATCAGAGGTTGTAATGAAGAAAAAAGTCTTAGTCATGTCAAGATGGGGAGCCAGAGCCAGGGTAAGATGACAGAAATCAGCAAATACGGCAACATACAGCAAAACACACTCTTTTTTTTCTGAGA